TTTGTCATTCTATGTTCAAGAACCATAGAGAAGAGAAAGCATCTTTTATAGCACAAACTCTTCATTCAGTTGTTTCTCAAAAATTCTGTGGAATTTCCTCTTTTCGAGATGGATAGGTAGGGCCAGGCAGCCTTACAAAAGCACTGTGATTCATGTGTACAGGGAATAGATACCTAAAAATAAAGTAAGGATGTGAAAAGCATCTTCGTGTTCATCTTCATGGAGGTTTTTGGGTTTGTTTGGGTTGTTTTTTTTTTCAATCTTTAGGGATCAATTTCTCCAACTCTGCATACACAAAAATCGGGTCAGAAGGGGTTAAATACTATCACTGTTTCATATATGGAGAGTTGAGGCAATGAGAGAGTTGTTGGTGGAATTTGGGTTCCAGTTCTCATTAGTGCCAACTTTAAGATTTGAGCTAGACCTAGCATGGGGAAGGGGGGACCTAAGTTATAGTCAAAACACATTTTTGAACAACTGCAAGCAAGCAAGTGACCTTCTTTCTTTATTGTGGTTGAATTTAAGTCAAGCAATTATATCTACTGAGGAAAACTTGTTGAACATTTTCCCCTTCGACACTGCAAGTTTAAGTCTCTTTCAGCCTCTTCCAGAAAGGAAGTGAAGCTTTTTCCGTAACCCTTCTGATCTGTAACATTTCATAAAGCAGCAGGGCTCTTTATGCACTAAATCATCTATTCTTTGCTGGACTTGTGCCTGATGTGTAGATAGAGAATCAAAAGAGGAACAGGATGTTTCTCCCACTCACTGAGAGACAAAAGAATGGCAAGAATCCGAGTCTTCAAATTACTGGCCCAACACCATGAAGTAAAGGTTTGTGGATAGATACTGTGGGCTAAGTCATCTTGATTGATTTGAATGAGCTTTTGCCTGCTTACCCCAAAGTGGATTTGGTCCTTTTTCAATGCAGCTGGTCTTTTCCTCACATCTACCTTGCCTTTTCTGTGTAGTTTCAAATGCACTGAATTTTCAACACACCATTCTGAAGGAAATTAATTATATGAGTACAGGCTTATTCCCCTTTGTTAGACGTTTGAATCATTCACTCCCTTTCTTCAATTCTATTATTATTTTTAAGGTAAACATTTCAATATTTTTCACTGAAATGTAAGCTCAACTTTTGTGTCAAACAAAAGGGTAAGAACTCTGTATAAGAAAGTAGGATGATAACTCTTCTGTCACAGTGTGAAATGGCGAAGTTGTGGCTTTCAGAGACCTTGAGAGTTCTAGTGGGAAGGCATAAGAGCTGTGTGCCAGTCTCAAAATCGGAGGTTTATGCCGAGCTTTGCCACTGACTCAAGCATATAAATACCTTCTGCTGACAGTGAGAGAGCCCATGTTTTAACACCTCTTCTAGGTGTTCTCAGGCATTCTGCACTGAGATTTGTGTGCTTAACTTCAACATGGGAAGAGGAATAGTTTTCTCTTTTTCTGTCCTTGACCAAGAGTCTATCTTTTCTCCCCTTTTAATGATTTTGATCTCATTCTGTTGAAATCTAGCGAGGCTTCCAAAATAGTCATGGAGAGTCAGAGTCAAGAACGTTTATAGTTTTTCTAAATGATTTTCTTCATTTCAAAGTCATAAGTTTTGGTTTCAGTACAGTGCAGTGATTTACTTTTGCAAGAATGATATTCCTGACTCCAGAAGAGAAACTGTTAACACTTCATTAAAAAGTACTGCTGATAATTTGATTTAAAACTTTGGTTTTGACTTTGTACAAATGGAACCATACATGAATTACTTCGTTGCAGTCAGGAGAATAGAAGTAGGATTTGCAGGATCAGGCCTCTAAGGCACAACATTGCTTTACAGACAAATGTGGAAACTCTCTCTAAATTGGGGGGAAAATCTAACTCTAAAGCAAAAAAAATTCCTTTCTTCCTCCACCAAGAACTACTTGATTTTTAAAATGGAATGTAGGTGTTGTAGAAAGTACAAATTCTTTTCTTATGTTGAAAAACATTAAGGAATTTAATACAAACACAGACAAAATACAACTAACTTGCCTCCTTACAGTTCTCTTGAACTAATTTAGGATCAAGAATTGCTTATGATGGTATTTTCACCTAAATTATCTGCCTCTTTTCAATTAGCTTTTATTATTTTAATGGTGGCTCTTCCCACCCTTCCTTAGTGCTTTGGCCAGACTCACATAATTGCCTATATTTTATGTAAATGGAATTGCTACACCATAAAATTATATACATATGTGTCTAGCACACAAAGTCCAGTAAATGATGTGAATAAACCCATTATTTTCAATGTAATGCCCTGGGAAATGGGTCTGACGGACATGAGCCCATGGCAAGGCCTGGAAAAAAACAAGGAGCAGCCTGACAGGCCACAATTAACTGACTTTTGAAATAATTCCTTTTTTTCACTGTTCTACTTGGCTGAGCAAGATTCACAAATTGCTGTCTTGAACTTTTTAATGGGACAAAATAGCTGCCAATGAAAGTCTAAATGACATGAACTTTAAATAGGAGTCAAAACATGTCACGGTGTGGTCATTGCATTAGCTGATGTATGGATTAGTTGAGAAGTAGCAGCCACTTAATTGGGAGGGAATCGGAGAACTGGGTATAGAAACACAGTCTGTTAAACACTAGCCAAATACGACTTTATTTTAGGAAGAGAAACAAGAATTAGGAAACATCTTGATAAATGTTTTCACATATGTTCCCACAGAATATGATTTGGAGTCCAAATCTGTTGTTTCATTTGCTGTGAAAAAGTGATCACAAAGCTAGATCAACAGGAAATTATGTTAGCAAGTAAGAAAACAGACCTTGTATCAGTAACGAGCATGCTGACTTCCCTGGGGTTTCAGTAGCTGCTCAAGACCCAGGCTGTAGTCACAGTCAAGTTTATACAGGCTCAAAATCTCTGTCTGTCTTTGGAAACTGAGGCCAAACTCTGGCAGACCTAAGTAAGTGACCTCTTAATCCCAGGGACATCATGGGACAAGTAAGTAGTGAAGATGAGGATTTTTTTTCCCCCTTAGTTTTTGTACTGCCTACCACTGCTTATCAAGCAGTACCGTTGTCTGACTCTCTGGGAACTCTTCAGCGAGTTTATTCCCCAAAACCTTCATCAGCCTAACTCACTTGAAGACCTTTAAGTTGTAACTTGTTTTGTGGGTGCCTTTGTTTTGGCTAATTTTTAAGTCTATTGAGCCACCAGAGCAGCTCCCTGTTGAGCTGCTTTCCACTGGCCGCAAGGGGAGGCAGCAGCTTGCAAACCACAAACCCTTTAGTTTGATTTTACTCAGTAATATTAGGAATCATCACCCATTGCTGCTTCTAGATGTAACTTAAACTGGCAGATGCTGGGCGTCGCCCAAGGCTTTCTTAAGCAATTCCATTACACATACCGAGTCCTTAGCTTCCTCCAGCTGATGACCATGGTTTTGCTTACCTGAAAGGCTCTCCAGTTTCGTTTACTGGATAGGATGTTCCCCTCATCCTCGGCTGGGATGCAATGTTACTGGTAAAGGGTGCATAGCTCATGTGAAGGAGATAATTTAGGACTGCATTTGGCAGTCTAGAGGATACCACAGCCTATGCAGCTCTCCTCCTTTTCTCTCTTCTCCAGTTCTTGTATAACTCAGTAAGTTATGCAGTAAAATACCTGTTATTTGTACACTATAGCATCTTTATTTCTGCCTTCCTTACTGCTTGCTTCAACTCTGAGCACAGAAGAAAACATTTACAGTTAGGGTTAACCGTGAATATTTATTGAGTTCAAAAGGCCACTATTCATTCACTTTACAGCTGAAAAGATCAACAACAGTTTCTAAAACCATTACAGGCAGAGTCATAAAACAGATGGCATAAAATTCATGTCTGTTGCCCTAACAAGGATGTCTAGCTGACACATCTATATGAAGTAACATACAGTATACATACTGAAGTACATGGCTGATATATCAGTACAATCAAGAGGTTTATAACTACATAAGTGTTTATTTTTCTAATAAGTATTTTCATCAGTATTTTACTGATGTGCTTCATTGAAGAAAAGATTAAATTTAAACAGATTAGTTTCTCCATTTACTCTCACTTGTATATTAATATGCAAATCATTCCATACCCTCTTGGCTTTATTAACACCAGAATTATTTCTTTTCCTAGGCTGGATAAATTGGGTTCTTTTTAGTATTAAAGAGAGAAGAATAGCAGATACACACATGTATGTTAATATTTTGGTTAAAACCAGTAGACCTTAGATAGTTACTGACAGAGTAAAAACACTTCAGTTACGCTAAAGAGGCTAAATATTGAACCAGTATTTATCATGCTGTAACTAGTATTTTTTCTAACATATAGCACCCCAATGTTTTGATATATCCAAGATATCTAAAGCTAACCAAAACAACAGTTTTCAGAAGTGCAGCATTTCAGTTACGTGTTTCAAATTTCAGTCCAAATTAACAGAAACTCATTCTATCATTCCTAGTCATTCATAGCACAAAAGAAAACAAACAAAAAAAGAGAATCAGGAATACAGTGGCAGGCTTGTTTCACTGCCTGTGGTAATCCAGAACACCTGATGTGTTTTATACTGTTGGTCACACACCAGTGTCACATTTAAAGAATCCCACCTTGTCCAACGTGGCAGAATAAAAGCTGCTCTTTACTTTGCTTGAGTATCACTCCAGACTATGGCTAAAGAAGCCCATAGACTTAAGAGTTAATATTGACACCCCTTTAAAGTCAAGAAGCATGCAATAGAGAATGTGGACTTTCTCCACTGCAGAAACCACCGGTGTGCTTTTTTTCCCCTCATGAACAAGGTGACAGAGTACTCCTTCAGCATGCTACTGAGTGGATCTGCAGCCCTGCGTTACAGCCAGGCAGCTAAAGGGACAGGATTTCTCAGAGGAAACAGCTCTTGTCCCTCACAGCTGAAAAACTGAAGTGCAGAGACAAAAAAAAAAAACCAACCCCAAACTGTTGGCTCCTAGCAGGGCATATCCTCCCTCAGCACCTTTTGAATTAGTAGTTTTAGTGCTGACTGTGCTTTGGAAAGCTGAGACTCTTGAGATAATACAACTACTCCAGAGACAGCCATGGCACTTTTAGGTCCACCATTGATTCCATATCCTATTCCAGCCAAAGAAATGGAAGAGTCTTATCAGACTTACGCTATCCTTGACAAAGTACTGAGTTTACAAACCAGGTAAAAGTAAAGACACCAAGTCTGAATTCCTGCAAGTCTCTCTCTAAAGCACTTTGGCTGATGTGAAATGTAGTCACAGAGGTTCCTTTGAGCCTTCCAACAATTCCCATCTAAACTGCCAGCAGTAGCTTTGTGGTTTATTTCACAGAGTCCCATAAGAGAGAATGTTACAAATCAAAGTCCAGGAAGCCTCTCATGCGAGCTTCCTGGTTCTCCATAGGCTACTACAAGAGCTAGCATGGTAAGTCCAGAGGCATCAACAAGATACAGGCCCAATAACTATGAGATCCAAATACCTTGATTGCCTACTGATTGTTTTAAAGTTGTAAGAAAGAAATGCAGAAGTGCAGATTCCTCTGTACATGGCGAGGACGTCTGAAGACATACCACAACCCAAAGCAGAGAACACCAGGAGAACTAAAAATCCATTTCAGTAGGAATGGGAGTATATTCTCCTCTGTGCTAATTCCCTGTATGTTTCAGAAGTCTCGCCTGCCTGCCTGCAGGCTTCACACAGAGAGGAAGCAGCATTTTCTATGTACTGTGTACACCGTCTCGGGACTCCTCAAATCAGAATCCCAATAACATACAGGAGATCCAGTTTCTACCACCTGAAAACTAAAGATACACCAGCAGAGAATATCCTGCCTCACAAAGAGGAAAAGCTTTATGACAGCAGACCCTGCTTTAAGTGAACAGCGCATTTATGCTCCCCATGCAAGCCAAAAATGTACTCCCTAAAGTCCTCAGTACACAAAAAAACCCACTGAAGAGCCATCAGTGTGAAGATATGAAGCACGTTCTGGGTCAGAACATGAGACAGAATGCTTCATCCCACAAACTGTATTATTACCGGGTGCACACTACTGCCCTGCAGGATGTCTTCCTGAAGACACTCTGGCATATTCCCAGTCTCTGAATTGATGTAATTTATTTCCTGGTGATTCTGACACCATTTCTTATCCATCGACTCTCAAAGTCTCTGCATTTCCCTTCTGATGAGATTTGTCACACTGGCTTTTGTAACTTTGTGTTCTAAGTCCTGAACTTCCTGATTTTAATAGTTCATTCTGTGCCATCTCATGGCACCAAACACTGAGAACACATATATTGCAAATCCTGACTACAGAAAACAGTCTGTGAATAGAGAAAAACACAACACCGAGACCTACCTCAAAGCCTGGAACCTGAATTTGCCAAGGAATTCTTCCTGTTTCTTTCTCAGTGGGGTTATTGCTACTTGTGAAACACATTTAGACCTAAAAATCAACTCTGCGGATCCTTTACAGCAAACCACAGAAGCCACAGTCGCTATTGAAGACATTTAACAACGGTTCATATCTTAACTTTGCTTTTAGAAGGACAAACAAGGTCTTTGCAAAACCTTTCATCATAGTTTTTGCTATTATCAATGTTTTACTAAATCACTATGTAAAGGCTTCAGCAATTCAGACCAAAGAATCGGCAGATTTCCCAAACTGCTTAAAAGAACTAATAATTTTTGTCTCAAGCAAACAATCTTCACGACTGCTTAGACTAAGACATACAAAGAGCTGCTGCAGGACTGATTATCTGCATGTAAGTACTTAGCTGAACTAAATTAAGATACGAGACCTTACTGTTTCATTTGGCAGAGAGAGAGAACAGTGCCACTGGAAAATAACCAGAAGGCAGGGTACAGGGCTTCAGTAAACTGGGTTTTGAATTTATAGATCAAGTTATGCTTCTCCCCAACAGCTGTGAAAATCACAAACCCTCCCTCGCAGTGGAGCAGCACACCAATCTTGGTAGCCTTCACATTGGGTAAGCACTTTTCAACATCATTATGCCAGGATGATATTTTGGAATTAAACCACTCAATACACCAAGAACTGCTGTTCCTCCCCAGGCGGCTCTCTGGCCCCTGCCGGTCCATGCTGCCATAGCAGATGCCAATGCCGCAGAAGTTGTTCTGTTGCAGTTCCACTTCCCAGTAGTGGATGCCTCTCTTGAAGCACTGGAACCCCAGTACTTGGGAACAATCGGTGAAGCGCTGAGGGTGGTGGTTATAATTCAGGGGGGTGTCTGAGACAGACATCTTGGTATACCTCTCAGACAGAATCACTTTGTTATGAGCTGTGTTGTAATCCAGCGTGATGTTAGCAGCATCTGCAACGACACAAATTGTTTGAAGGTACTGAAGAGCAAAGCACTTACTTGTACCATCCTGCCTAGGCACTCATTCCTCTCCATGTTTATCTCCCTGCTGTGCTGTCCTCCACAGGGCAGGCAGTTCTTAGGGCCACAGTAATAGCTGCTGGGTTCAACTGCAGCACTGTGTTACACAGCAGGCAAATGGAGAGCATGTTTTTTTCCTTCCTGCATCCCCTTGGGATTCCTTCACCACCCAAATATATGCTGGCAGAAGAAAGGGATTGCTGATCTGGCAGTGAAAGGTATACCATATGGTATACCATCTGGTATAGCATCTTAAGCAGGCCATCATGGGCTTGCATAAAAGCCTGCCTTTCATATCAAAGGAAAACCCAGTGCGATACATCGTATTTCTAGGCTACCCTAATGCAGTCATTTTGGGGGAAGCCAAAGCCATTACTGAGAAGACTTCCTTTACCTTTGTAAAGATACATGAATACCAAAGACAAATTTTATACATCTGGCAAAAGAACCACTTAGAAACCTCCTTCCCCGTTCCTCCCAAAAATTTACTTCATTTGTAACAACCAGTGGATAACCTACTAAGGTAACTAGACCCCCTCAAAAGTATTTTTGTCATTAACTACAGAGGGCATAAACCAACAGTGCAATAAGTGCAGAAAGTTCATCTTTAAGTAGTGTAACATTGGGTGTCTTACACTGCAAAAGCTCCTCTCTGGATTTCTTCAGAAAGCTGTCAATAAGCTCTTTAAGCTCTTTAGTTGAAGGGGCAGCTGCAGCATTTACTGTTCCTGTGGTTGGTGCTGTGTCGACAGAAGAAAAGAGAGTGAGGCCCGTTGGGAAGAACCCCTGCGTGCTTAACAGTCACAGACACCCTCAGGCCAGAGTGGACCTCTTGAGGCTATCTGGTTTAGCCTGTTCCATGCAGGTTTAACTTCAGTATTAGCTCAGGTTGCTCACAGTCTTGTCAAGTTTTGAAAATCCCCTGTTGTCTCTGGGCAATCCTTTCAGTGCTTGATCGCTCTCAGCAAGAGCCTTCTCAGAGCAAGAGTTAAACTTTTGCTTAATACACCAATACAAGTAACCATCTACTTATCTTTTCAGGAGCAGTCAGTGAAAGTTAGAACAAGTATGCTGAAAGTTTGGACTCACCGACTTTAATAGGTTTCTTTTTCTCCTCTGGAAGGGGGGGAAAAAAAAAAAAGTGAACCATGAGTTCTACTAAGACTGAAAAGCCACCAACAGACTATGCCACCTCTAACACCATCATCATGGCTCTTCTGAAGCTGCAGCAGTAATTAAGCTGACAGTCCAGCATGTTGAAGCCATGTACAAATACACCCATACTGTAAAGCTACACATGAAGCATAATGTACTATCTGCTTCCTATTTCACAGGGCCACAAGCCTGGAAGGAACTTCATCTCTACTGCAGGACACAGCGCATTAGGGCAAGCGGTAACAAGCCTGTTCCCACGCAGCATAAACTACTCCCTTTCTTTTTACAACAAATCTTCTAGTCCAGCAACAGGAGCTACAAATTCATTCAACTCCAGCAATCCACAGCAGACCCCATTTGGTGCTCCATGCTCAGGATGTGTGGATGGAAAAGACCACATGTCAAGAGCTCAGTGAAAGTAACAGAAGTAGTTTCTTAACACTTGGATTTATTTCAAAAAGAGAATATGGAAGATCTTCTGAACAGGCCAGAGTGCCATATTAATACCAGTATCTGGACAAAACAACACTGAAAGGTGTCAGTATAACCTGCCACAAGACTGTCTCCATCACCCCAGCCTGAGACTAAGTGAGACACAGCCAGCAGAATGTTTGAGTAAGGCTCCTATTAATCACCACTTACTGGTATCTGCCTCCACTGGGGAAGTGGCTTGAATCTGGGGAAGGATTTTGTCTTTGTGGGTATGATCTTTCAAGGCGGGGGAGAGAAAAAAAACAGAACATGAAGAGCTCATAAGCAGCATACATACAACACCCATCAAACAAGCCAACAGATGTTTAGTACAAAAGGAAAAAAAAAAAACAAAACCTCCAGGAACCAGAGGGCGGGGAGGCTCTGCTTTGCTTTACAGCCTGCGCTGACACTACAGGTGCACACTGAGGCTAACGCACCATTGTATCTCTGCAGCTTGCTGCTTCACAGCTCATGAGGCATCCGTCACTAAAATACCAAAAATACCCTCCCTTTCCCATGCCCAAGTGCTCACTACAGATAATCACTGCATCACCGCTAGAGCAAACAGCTCTTGGGTAACTGCTTGAATTCTTATTTAATGGTAAAACCATAGTTAGAAGAGGATGACGTTCTTTAGTACTTACGTGGTGCTGGAAGCTTTTTTCCAACAAAGGTTTTGTTTGCAGAAGCCACTGGAAGGGGCTTAGTTTTCCCAGCTGGTACTTTTACTGCAATGGTGATATTTTACGTTATGGTTTGTATTGCCAGGAACAGTAACACATGAGCAAGGACATTTTTCACTCTTATTTTTCAGTCGTGAATAGAACTGAAGTGATACTCAGCAGAGATGGAAGCTGCATAGAAGATACCCATGCCCCAGTCCAAAAGATGTTTTTGCTTAACCTGGCAGGCAGGGCTTTGTTCTACAACACTTGTATGATCAGCACCTTTACAGTTGAGTAACCATAGTCCTATCACTCAAAAGGGTTTTATGTCTCCCCTCAAATCCACATCCTAACTGCATCCAACCCCAATACAGAATAAAAACATAAATTACTGTAAAGAATGAAGGCTGAGCTGTGCCAGAAGGGCATAGTATCACAATAATCATCAGCTTGTCCAAGTATACATAAAAGTTAAGAGACACTGGCACACTTTTTTCTCCTAGTTTAGGCCAGACTATAGCACTTTTTTGGAAATGGAGGACCACAGAAGTTGGAAGACAATTTATATTAACCAACTGTATTTGCTGCGCTTTATTTTTTTTTTAATTATATTTGGATTGGAGGGGGAAGATGTCTCATTTGAACTCAAAGCAAAGGCAGAAAATGTCACTTCTCCTGGTGATACAGTACCTTCTGGTCTTTTCTCCCTCCACTGAGTCACTGAAAGTTTCACCGTGTCTTTAAGGTTAATGGCAGACTCGTAAGTGGAATGTATCAAGTTTTGGTTCATTTCAATTACAGGGATGAAAGCGTCTTTTGCTGACATCCGTTGCAGCGCTGCTGCCCTCTGAAATGTGAAATAGAAGATCACATGAAGACCACCTTGTGTAGCAGACATAGAAAAATACAAGCAAGTTACTTTAAATGGGGCGGGGTTTGTGCATTTATCTCTAAATCAAAGGAGCAAAGGCTACAGTCAGACATGACCCATCACAAAATTTCAGCAGCAACCCATAGGCATTAATTCTCAACCGAGATCTGAAGCAGTGAGAAATATCTACTAGATAATGCCACGACATGGAGGTGCAACGCCTCATGGAGATGAATTCGCTCACTCACTGGCCCCTCTGCTTGTGGCAGAGGCTGAACTGGGGGGAGCTACCAGACACCACTTCACTACAGCGCTCTTTCGTTGAGATTTGTGTACTTATCAGCACATCCTTTTATAGCAGGTTCTTGCACATGACTGCATTATCATTTGACTGAAAGCATCTGGAGAGCAGGACTACCACAGTGGGTTTTTATGATTCTGCCTTCTAGAAACATGAAAAGCTGGATTCACATCTAAAGGACGTATTACCTTCAAAAACAGAATGTCATCGCTTTCAGTCAGTGCCATCTCAATCTGATCTCTGAGAGATTGTATTTCATTCTTCTTACTTCCCAGAACACCGTAAACATAATCAAACTTATTGGACACTCTTTTTTCTTCATCTGCAATTACTTTTAAGGACTGATTTTCTCTTTCTTCAATTAAAGCTTTAATTTCTGAAAACTCACTTCTGATCAAATCTTTCTTTCTGGAAGCTGTCTCCTGGAGCGGACAAGAACAGAAAGACACTGGTTTCAAAAGAACAGCTTGTGGACAAAGTATTGCTTTCTACTACTACAGGCCTTTCAGGAACACGTAGGCTTCAATTGCTTAAAACAGGCCATAGAAAAGCCATGTATTTCTGTGCAGTTTCGAAAGAAAACTCACTTACTCCCAAGAAAACAGGCCAGTTGCCAGCCTCCAGACCCCTTGGCCATGCCATCTGGCAGTTACCAACACTGGGACAGGGCTGTGCCACTGCCAGGACACCGCACACCCACTTGCACGGCTGTAGCTCTTTCTGCCTCCAAGGTTCTGGCATCTCTGATTAACATGAAATAATTTGTCATCCTCCGGGAGATGTTGCAGAGGAGCACAGAAGCACTACCCCGGCAGCTTTTCAGTTTCTTGGTCTCTACTTCAGAAAGGATGGTACAAGTGAGATGTAGCTGATCCCACCATCAGCACAAACAGCAACCCCAACCATCCGCTACGAGCAAGGATTAGTTGCGGTAATTTATGAGGAAGAGACATCCCAGCTTTCATCGCTGGTGCAGCCCTTACAGCTCACAAATCCTTTAGCTTGGGCTGTGCAGATACGCACTTTCTGGTGCCACAGGCAAGGACAGGTTTGAGCCCCGTTATGGGTCAGGTGTGTCACGGTGGTTGGGTCACTCCCATCTCCCACAGAGCCACCTGGCTCTGCCAAAATGCCTCTTTTCTGTTCCTTCCCAATAACATCTTCTCCAGCCAATGCCAGCTCAATACTACAGGCATTGCCACAAGAGCACAAGCATCAACACCATGCAGTGGCCAGCGTCTGCCAAGCAACCTGACAGCATTTTGAACAGTTACCCACTTACAGCAGTTTGGCTTTGGTTTGTTTTCACAGTGCTCATCGCTCGAGCAGCTTTCTCAATCTGGTTATGCAGCTCCATCAGTCTCTTCTTCAGCGCCGACTGCAACAGAAGAGATCAGAAAGTATTTCAGAGAAGCATTGCCGTGGCTGCTCTCAGTCATGCTCACTAAGAATCGTATTTACAGAAAGTTTTAAATAACCTAAAACCTACTGCTCCTTAAGCCGTACAGGATGTAAAATTCTCTCCTGCACATATGGTTTGTGCAGCCAGCACCCTCCCAACAGCAAGACGCACACTGCTGACTCACTCTTTTGGTAAGGACTGAGCGCTTTCATCAGCACAGCAGCTCCCAGTGCGAAGAATAAACTTTGTTAGCTCCCAGGTTGGACTTTGGGCAGTAGGCTAACACGACTGTTCACCCCTCTCGTTTTAATTGAGAATTTTATTGCCCAGATATGAATTACCTATTCCTTTAGTCTGCTAAACTAAATCAGGAGGACTTCTGAGGGTAAGCAGTATATACACTTGCTGAACAGATGGGAGGTTGGCCACCTAAACTTTTCAAGCGTGCTTTACTTATCTACCCTCTGATTTTCAGCTGCGCTGTAAGATAGGAAGTCCAGGTTTCCTTCCATTTTGCTCCATGGAGAACTTGCGCCTAGCTTTTATCTACGTGCTAAAGCTCTCACTAGGCTACTTAAGAAGCCAGGAGCAATGTCTGTCAGCAGTCCCTCAGTCGGCCTGTGGTAAGGCCACACAAGAACCCCGTGCAGCGGCAGAGGCTCGGAGTTGAGGGAGGCCTCACCAGTCAGCCCAGCTCAAGACAGCAGCTGGCTGTCAACCCCACTATAGCACCTTCCCAGGCCCCCAGAGCACAGTCTTGGAGAGAGGAGGAAAATGCAAGGAACGACTCCGAAGACATGCTCAAGCTCACGTCAGAGGGCGGATAACAGTTTGCCAAGGGCAGACAGGAGATTTACAGTCCAGGGCTTGGTCCAGCCTCCCCCTGGCACTCCACCGCCCGCGACCCCAGCACCCAGGGACCCACCAGGCCCCAGGGGAGCAGCAAAGGGGAGCTCCGGGATGCCCCTCAGAGGGTGCTCCAGCCCCAGGCAGGGCCGGCCCCCCCTGCCGCTCACCTCGGCGTTGGCTTTGGCCACCTGCAGGGGGCTGGTGTGACACAGCTTGTGCTCGAGGAGGCAGAGGGAGCAGATGCAGCTGCTGTGCTGGCTGCAGAAGAACTCGAAGAGCTTGTTGTGCTGCGGGCACTTGCGCTGCTGCAGGTCGCGCAGGGGCGGGCAGAGCTGGTGGTCGCGGAAGGCAGGGCTGTCCTGGTGCGGCCGCAGGTGCTCGGAGCAGAAGGAGGCGGTGCAGGTCAGGCAGGTCTGCG